TCACAACCGCATCCAGGCCCTTATTTTTACAAGGCATCCAGGGCGTGTGCGTGTGCTCGGAGCAGCCACGAACAGTCCCAGCCCATCCCAGCGCCTTTCCCAGCCCCTGGGACCCCGGGCAGGTCGGGGTACCCCTGGTGCTGCTCCCCCAGGTGAAGGGTCGGGAGGTTTTTGGTGCCTCTCTGCACCACAGGAACTTTTCCAGACGGGCAAAGAGCTGGGTTTGGGGTTTTTTGGTGATTTCCAGGATGGGTATCCCAGTGCTGTGTCCTCACCAGCACGGGTTGAGCTGTTCCTATCACCTCCAGAACATTCCAGATACTCCAGAGACTCACCCAGGGTGGCTCACGTCGCAGGAATTGTCCCCAGTGTCACAGCAGGGACAGGAACGGGAGCCAATCCCCACTCCCAGGAGCAGGGATGGGAATTGGGGAGCCCCAGCTCCCCTTTCCCCCCCCATCACCCCAACCCTGACACATTTCCTGTCTCCAATTAAGCGCACGCCACACCTCTCTGCTTAATTCCCGTGTATTTATTTCCAAGGAAGGAACAATAAATAGTCATTCCCGTTGTGAAATCCAGCCCAAGGTGCGAGCAGACTGAGGGTGGCTGTGGCCCAGCCGCGGTGCCAGCCCGGCAGGACCTGTCCCCTGCCCAGCCCCGGCTCTTATCACCTTTCCCCACCTTTGGATCACTCCGGGCTTTGGGTTTTTGTCTCTCCCGAGGTGCTGCCCACGCCCTCTCTCTTTTTTGGGAGGCTCCTTTTTAGGGTCCCCACTGCGTCTCCGGGGTGCCCACAGCCTCTAACAGGGCACAGAGTTCGGTGGGAATGGCCTGGATGGGAGAGGAAAAGTGGGGAAACCGGGTTTTCCAGCCCATTTCCTCACTCTCCGTGTGCTCAGTTGTGAGCTCGAGCTTTGTGTCATTTACTCTTTCCCAATTTGCTGTAATTACACCCAAATCCCACATTCTCCCATTGGGATCCTGCTCCCGGCCTCACAGCCCTTGGGATTTTCCCAAGGCCAGGATTTTGGGATCTCCCCTGAGCTCCCTCCAGCCCAGGAGCCACAATCCCAAAGCCCTGCCCAGCTCTGTTTGTGGGGTCCCCAAAACAGGGACCTCCCCCAGGGACCCGAGAATTGGGAATGTGGAGAAATTGGGAATTGGGAACGTGGAGAAATTGGGAACTGGAAATGTGGAGAAATTGGGAATTGGGAATGTGGAGGGCCCGGGGATGCCCACAGGCGTCACACAGCCCCAGAGCATCCTCTGCACCCCCAAAACATCCCCTGCACCCCCACAGGGGTCACACATTCCCACAGCATCCCCTGCACCCCCAAAACATCCCCTGCACCCCCACAGGGGTCACACATTCCCACAGCATCCCCTGCACCCCCAAAACATCCCTGCACCTCCGCAGCCTCCTCTGCACCCCACAACACCCCCTGCACCCCCAAAAATCCCTTGCACATCCCAAATCCACGACCCCGACCCACAATCGCTGCAGCCCCTGCCCCCCCTCCTTGCCCCCCCTTTTCCCCTTTCCCCCCAAATACAAACGAGGTCTCTCCATCCTGCTCCGTTTGTTTGGGTTTTTTGGGAATTTTTTTTTTTTTCCCAGTGTTTTCCTTTATTAATTTATACAAAAATGGTCGCGAGTGGCCCAAGCTGATCCCAACCCAGCCCCGGCCCCGTGCCCGGCTCAGGGCCGGAATCCCTGGAGATGAGGAGGGCAGCACATCCCAGAATAACCCCCCAAAAACCGGCAGGGAAGGCTCCCAGGCCTTGTGCACCCACCCACGGCCACGGCGGAGCCCTGGAGGTGCCGTGGGGTGACAAGGCTGGGGGGGGACAAACCCCCAAATCCAGGGGGGAATGGGGGAAAGGAGCCGAGTCCCTCTCGCTGCGATGCTCCGGGGGGGATCCAGGACCGGAGGGGGCGAGCCTGGGGATGGAGGAGGAGGAGGAGGAGGAGGAGGAAGGAGGGGCAGGGCCAGGACCCCCCCGTGCCACCCACACCGGGCACGGGGCAGAGCTGGGGCAGGAGGGGAACGTTCCTGACGGGAAGGAGAACCGAGGAGGGCAGGGATGCAGCCGGGGAGGGGAATCCTCCACCCGGCAGCAGCGACATCGCTTTTTTTCTCTTTTTTTTTTTTTTAATCCCAGGAGCATCCCCCGGGACCCCTCGCGCTTCCAGCAGGAGCAGAGCCGGAGGCCTCGGGCGCCTTCCCGTCCCCCAGCACCCTCTACTTCCTCCGGCAGCCCTTGGCCGCATCCCCCATCATGTCCCAGTACTCTCCGAACTCCAGTTTGGCCTCGTTAGGGTCCCCCATGCACTCGATCTTCTCCTCCAAGGGTCCCACGCACTGTGGAGACAACATCGAGGTGATGATGATGATGATGATGATGATGCTGATGGGGCTGGCGGGGGGGGGTTCCCACAGCCTCCCTGCCCCCCTCAGCTCCTCCTGGGCTCTGCCCTCACCTTGCCCAGGTGCGGCAGCTTCTGCACCACCAGCTCCTGCATCTCGTTGGGGGTCAGGTACTCCTTCTGTCCCTTCACGGCGTAGCAGTGGAACTGGCTGATCACCGTCTCGATGGCTCGCTCCACGTCCGTGAGCTCCTGGCCGTCCTGGGGAGGGGACACGACACCTGGGAGGTGAGACCCGGGGTGGGGGGGGTGGGACACAGCTCCATGGAGGGGTGGGACAGGTCCCAGGAAGGGGTGGGACATCCCACGGGTGGACGGGACAAGCCCCGAGCGGGTGGGACAAACATTTAACCCCTGCAGAGCCATGGGAGAAAATGTCCTGGTCTGTGCGGATGTGAGGCACGCTCCCATCCAGCTGTGACAACCCCATCCAGCTGTGACAAACCCCATCCAGCTGTGACATCCCTCGATAGAGCTGCGACACCCCCTTATCTGGATAACCCTGGATAATCTGTGACCCCCATCCAGCTGTGACACCGCTCCATCCAGCTGTGACCCCCATCCAGCTGTGACACCCCCGATCCAGCTGTGACACCCCCATCCAGCTGCCAGCCCACAACCCCCGCACGGATTCCAGGCCTCCCCACACAGGTGTGAGCCCATCCAGATGTTGCCCCCCCCTCACATCCAGCTGTCGCACCCCTCCGCAGCGGCTCTGCCCGGCTGTGACAGCCCCTCCAGGTGCCACCCCCTGTCCCCCAGAGCTGTCCCCCCCCTCCAGACGCGCTGTCCCCGCCCGGGGCCCGCCGGGCTCAGCCACCCCGGCGTCTCTCGCCACCCCCCGGCTCTCCCGACTGGTTCTTCCTCTCCTGCGCTCGGGTGGCGATGGCAGCGTGAGTCAGTGCCCGCCGAGACCGGCACGGGGCTCGGCAGCGGCCGGAGACCCCCTCTGACACCCTTCAGACCCCATTCCCGGCGGGGTGGGGGGCACAGAGCAGCCCGAGCCCCGCTCCTGGCCACTGCTGGCCACTCCTGGCCACTGCTGGCCGCTCCGTTTAAAGGAAACATTTAAGGTGATTCACTCAAATCTGCGGCTTCCCCTCCAACACCGTGAAACCACAGCCGGTGATGCCCTTTGGGAAGAGCCCTGCAACCTCCAGAGCCTCAGCCCCGCGCCCCAAATCCTCCACGGGTGCCAAGGGGTGCGGGGTGGGCACGTCCCGTTTGAAAGCCGAGGAAAACAGGAGCTTTTGTGCCGTGGGGCATCCTCGGAGGGGCTGCAAGGAGCGCGGGCAGCTCCCGGAGGTCGATCCTGCTTCCCCCGAGCTTTCAAGCGGCTCCGCAGCTCCAGATTCCCCCCCCCCGTGCCCGGAGTTGCCAAAACCCCGCGGTTCTGAGTCACGCCGTGCCCGGGGCTCCGGGGCCGTGCGGGGTCACCCCCTCCCCTCCGGGGGTCCCGGTGCCGGGGGGTCCCCGCCGGACCTTGCGCTTCTTGCGGCAGTTGCACTGGCCCATCCTGCTGCTCCTGCGGCTCCTCGGGGGTCTCTCGGAGATCTCTCGGGGGTCTCTCCGGGGTCTCTCCTCTGCGATGGGGTCCGGAGGAGCTGGCAGGAGAAGGAATCCAAGCTCAGCTCACTGCTCGGGGGGAGCTTCCCTTCCTCCAGCGCCTCCCTCCTCCTCCTCATCCCCGAGCGGAGGGCGAGGAAGGAGCCCCGGGATGCGGCGGCGGAGCTGCCGGGACACGTCCCCGGAGTCTTCGCAAGTCGTGGCGGAGCCGAGCGTGGGAGCAGAGGGGCCCGGGGCGCAGATCCCCCGTCCCGTGGGGAGGCCGGGCCACTTACCTGCAGCTCGGGCTGTCCCAGGTGTGCGCGGGCTGCGGCGGGCCGGGGTTTTATACCGGGGAGGTGTGAGTGGGAGCTCCGCGGTGCGAGGCGTCTCATTTGGGAGCCTGGCCCTGTGCCAGCGTTGGGGCCGGGAAACGCCTCCTTCCCGGGACTCCTTCCCGGCCACACCGACGGTTCCACATCCAGCCGGGCCTGGCACGGCCGCGGCGCCGCGTGGGAATGGCCACGGGACCGTGGCTGGTGGCCCCACAGCGGGGTCGCCCAGCAGCGCCGGGATTTGGATATTCCAGCGCTGGGAATGGGGATATTCCCAAACTGGGATGTGCTGGTGGTGGATGTGTCACCCTGTGTCACCCTGTGCCACCCAGGACCCTGCAGAGGACGGGCACCGATGCCATGGAGTTGGTGGCCACCGTGGCCACCGCGGCCAGCGCGGCATCGCTGCCGGGGATCTCCCGAGCCCCACCCCGGCCACAGCCACAGCTCTGCCCCCCATCCACCCCCCCAGCGCGGCAGGAAGGTGTTTGTGGGGCGCAGGGTGGCACCCCCAAAAGCCAGGCCAGCACAGGGGCAATTTTGGGATGTCCCTGTCCATCACGGGATGCCCAGAGCCACGGAGTGACCCCAAACCAGGGGCTGGGCCGGTCCCCAGCGTGGCCACCACGGGGGAGGAGATGGGGGCTCAAAGCAGGAGCCCCCTCCCAGCAAGAACAGCGATTTTCGGGCTCAGGGAAACCTCTTTTATTGGGGGCCGAGTCTCCGCAGCGGCCCCGTCACTTCTTCCCGGCTTTCTCCTTCCTCATGGCCTTGGCCAGCTCCCCGATCAGCCGCCAGTACTCCCCAAATCTCAGCTCCTCGTCGTTGTTCACGTCCAGCTCGCTCATCTTCTCCTCCAGGGAGGGCACGTCCTGCAAGGGGTGGGGGGGACACGGGAGGGAGGCTCCCCAAAACCCGGGGTGGGGACGAGGGGAGCGCGGCTGCTCCTGACCGCGAATCCCGGGGGATCCGGGAGCAGATTCGGGGTTCAGGGGGACTCGTAGAGACCCTGAGGTTCAGGGGGGGACCCCCGGGGACCCCCGAGGTGCTGCTGCTCCTCCTCACCTTCATCAGGTTGGGCAGCTGGAGCCGCACCAGCTCCTTGAACTCTCCGGCTGTCAGCGTGCCCTTCCTGCCCTCCTTGGCGGCGAAGGTGACGAACACGGTGACAATGCGCTCGATGGCCTCCTCCAGCTCCGTCAGCTCGCCAGGCTCGGCCACCTCGGCCACCTCGGCCGTGGCCATGGCACCGGACACGCTGCTAGCCCGGGGCTGCAGGACGGGAGCCCAGAGGGGAGTCCCAGGGGAGGGGGATCCTCGCCCCCTCGCCAGCCCCAGCGAGGGCTCAGCTCAGCCCCGCCTGACTTAGGAGGGTCCCGGGGCTTGTGCAGGACCACGGGCAGCAGGTCCCGGTGCCGGCCCAGGAGCGGGGACATTGGGAGGGGACAGGGGCACATCAGGGGTCCCCATGGGGGGAGCGATGCCCCACTTACCCCCTCGCTGCGGGCAGGTCGCGGCCCCACGGAGCTTTCGGGGGGTTCGGGAGGTTTGGGGGCGTTTCGGGAGATTTCAGGAGGTTTTATACCCTCGCAGCAGGAGGGGACAGCGCAGCCTTTGTCCCCCCGGTGCCGGTGTTGGGTTTCCTGGTGAGGCCGGACGGACGCGCAGACACCGCCCGGGCGCCGCCGTCCGTCCGTCCGTCCGTCCGTCCGTCCGTGCTCCGCTCCCTCCCCAACCGGGCACCGCACCAAACTCGGGCTGAACTCGCCCGGGGACCCCCGGTGGGGACAGGACGGGACCGAGAGCGGAGAATCCGCGGGGCTGGAGCATCACCCGGACCTTTCAGAGAAACTTTCACAGAAAAATGCCCGGAGTCGTTCTCGGGATGGTTTCGGTTCTCCGAGATGATTGAATGCAAACTTTGAGCCCCATTTCAGGGCTGTCACCCCCAGCTCCTTCCCTGCAGGGCTGGGGACAAGGAGGTGACCCCAGAGAGCCGGTGGCATCGCTGTCACATCGCTGTCACATCTCTGTCACATCTCTGTCACATCCCGGCCCGGCCCGGCCCGACCCGCACCGAGTGAGAGTTGTGACTCAGCCACCCGCTGACATCATCCCTATTAATAGTGGGCTCTGTAAAAATTAATTAATCCAAATTAATTAGGGGGTTGGGAGCGCTCCCCTTTAATGAGTGGGTATTTATTTATAACATGGCAGCCCTGGCACGGATCCACCTGGGAGAACGAGCAGCTCCCGGTGGCACCGACGTTCCCACCGGGAATTCCCGAGCTGCGGACCCCGGACACAGCCTCAGGACTGTCCCCGATGTCCCCAAGCTCACCCATGGGTGCGACAAAGAGCGAGGCTGCAGCGAGCAGGGGCAAAACACGGGAATTTGGGGTCCCAAATAATTCCCAAATGAAGCCCCCGCGGTGTTTTGGGGAGCGAGGACAGGGAAGTCCCCGAGCCCTGGCACCCTCCCTGCTCCTCTCCGCGGGGACAGCGAGGCTCCCACGGCTGTGGGGTGGCCCTGTCCCCACCCCAGAGCCGTCACACCAGCTCACGGGGCAGGAATTGCCTTCCTGCAGCCCCATCCGGCCCCGGGATGACGGAGGGGACAGGGCTGGGACGTCCAGGGGACCGGGATGGTGTCTTGGGAAAGCGCCGGGGGTGAGTCAGGGACCGGGACAGGTTTGGGGTGAATCACCGGCCCCGGAGCCAGGCGGGCCCGTGACTCCCCGGCCCTGGAATTTGGGGAGCCGGGATTTGGGGTGAGCAAGGGGCAGGTGCAGGAGGGGACAAGGGAAAGGCACCTCCGGGTCTTTTATCACGCTGGGATCCGCATTGGGATCGTCCCCAAGGGCAGGAGGGGGGGTGACCCCACCTCGGGGACACCGACATGGCCAGGAGGGGACCACAAAGGGACAGGGATGGGGCCATAGAGGGACTGGGATCATAAAGGGACAGGGATGGGGCCATGGAAGGACAGGGGCCATATGGGGACAGGGAGAGGTGTGATATAGGGTCAGGGACCGTATAGGGACAGGGACCGTATAGGGACAGGGACCGTATAGGGACAGGGACAGGGGCCATACGGGACCACCAGGCCCCGCGTGACAGGGTGCCCATGGACATCCCAGGGGGTCACTGGCCACTTCCCCATCCTTCTCCTGGGGTTCACACAACCTGTCTGAGCTGCGGACCCCAACTAGCGATTGTCACCGTGGCCACCACAGTGGCCAGCCCTGCAGTGGCCCCTGCTGGCTCCATCGGGGCTCGCTGGAGGGGGACCGTGGTGGCCACAGCAGGTGCCCAGAGCCACCGCGGTGTCCCCAGCGCTGCCACTGCCGCTCCTCCCACCCCAAACGCCGAGGATGGAAAAGGTTCTTGCAGAGCCCCGGCGATGGGACGGGGAGACAAGCTGGGCCCAGCCCCGGCACCGGGAACTGGAGCAACTGGTTTAGCTGGGTCAAAGTGGAGCAGGGGAGTCGCAGAGGCTGGAACCTGTTCCAAGTTGTGTGTAAAGCTCCTGGCATGTCCCTCGCTGCTCCCGCTCTGCAGAGAGCCCGTCCTGGGAATCTGCCAGCCCAGAGCTCTGCCCTGGCCACAGGGGCTGGGACCCCCCCCCGCCCGGGACCCCCCCAGTGTTGGGGTTCACCCTGGGGTTCAGCCTGGCTGAGGAATTTGAGGGCTGAGGGATTTGTGGGGATGAGGAATTTTGGGAGCTGAGGAATTTTGGGAGCTGAGGAATCTGCTGTCCTGCTGTCCCGAAGGATTTGGGGGTCTGGGGATGCCAGGCTTGGAGCCCCCAGGAGCTCTCCAGGACCCCCCAGTGTTGGGGTTCACCCTGGGGTGCCCCAATCCTGCTGTCCCAAAGGGTTTTGGGGTCTGGGAGCGCTCGGACACTGCGGCCATGCCAGCCCTGGCTCTGTCCCCTCTGTCCCCGCCTGGCAGGGAGTGGGCCCGGGGTTATTTTTGGGCAATTCCTGTCCCCGTCACGAGCAGCTGCTGCCCCAGTGACGTTCCCAGGTTTCCCTGCCCGCTGCCGAGCCGCTCTGGGGACAGGGACACAGCGAGTGAGTGCCACCAGGGCCCCTCCCAGTCCCCCCCCCTCCATGCCCAGGTTTGGGATCCGGCCCCTCCTGGAGCCCCAGACCCCCCCTGGGTGCCCCACAGCACAAATGGGATCTGTGTCCTGCTGGGAAGCAGCTCCTGATCTGCCCTTTGGGATCCCCAATTCCCAAAATCCCAATTCCAGCTCGCAGCCCAGCCGGGACCCCTCCCCAGTTTCCCCATTCCCAGGGCAGTGGGGAGGGGGCTTGGCCCTACAGGACCAGCCAGTTTTGGGGTCCCCAGGCAGGTCCCATCCTCAGCCTTTCCCAACCATGGGGACAGGAAGTGCGGGAGAGGGAAATTGAGGCAGCAGGATGTGATTAACCCCAAATTAGGGCTGGAAGCCGGCATGGAGAGCCGGGCACCACCCCTGGATGGCTCCTGGGAAAATGCAGCTCCTGTTTGAGGGGGTCCCAGCCCCGGGGGGAAACCCAGAGAGGGGGGCTGAGGGATTTGGGGGATGAGGAATTTGGGGGGCTGAGGGAATTGGGGAGCTGAGGAATTTTGAGGGGCTGAGGAATTGGGGGGG